GCTAGACTTTCTTGCACAAGCAATGGTCCAATGGTCCAAACCAATCAGGTGATCTGTCCACTTTATATCAGAGTGAATGTGATGGACTGTCCAGGGTCCATGATGAAAGGATGGAGCTCACAGAGCAAACGGATCTCAGGCCTCTGCGCTGCATAGATCAGGATAATCCCATGATCTGTGTGGGACGTAGCAGAACTGAACACATCTGAGCTGCTGATTTCAGACTGAGTCAGATTTAGAGCAGCTTCAGAAAACCAGACATCTGCTCTCAGACAGAATTACGTTTCCTCGTGTTTCTGGTGCGTTGGTGTGCAACACTGAAACATCTGGAAATGAAGACATTTCACACCAAGCAGAGGTGTGTGTGCGGCTCGTGTTCCTGAGAAGGTGCTAATGATTTAATGACAGGGGTCCTGGTTCACCTCAGTTACAGCAGAGAGCCCCCCCCCTCCTCCCCCCACAGCTACTGCCTCCAACCACACAGACTTCCCTTTGTTTAGGAAAGTTCCTGTGTGTACGGCTGACATCACTGCGTCCCGCAGCGGCGGCAGCAGCTAACCACACACGTCTCAGATGGAGATGTTGGAAGCCGCCTCAGACAAGGCAGCCACATCTCTGGCTTCCCGGCGGCCGATGAGGTCTCATCCCGCCGCTGCTCTGACTCAATCCTTGTCCTGAGTTTATTCTAGAAGCGTTGCCTCTGAGGGCGTAGCTCTGCAGCACAGTGAGGCGGCTGTTTTTTCTTCTTTTGCACCGCCTGCTTCCACCACACCCGCCCGCACGCTGAAGACTGTCCTCTGATGTGCTGTCCTGGGTTAACCACACCTATTGCTAAGGAGTTATACTGGACTCCTGTGTTCATATCCAGGAAATTCTTCTACTTTACTGTTGAACTCTTGGTCTGTTTCTAAAGAGTCCATGACAGTAGTTAATGTCTTACTGTAGAAATACTAAAACAGAACAAACATTTGAATACTTACATACCGTATTTTCTGGATTATACTTTTTCCTGCAGCTTATAAGAAGGGGCGGCTTTTCAGTGGATTTTGTTCCTTACTGCTAGAGGAGGAAGTCAAGGTTTTATATTAAAGGAAAAGTCCGCTCATATTCAGAAATAAAACTTCTAAAAGTACTTTAGAAATGAAATGATTCCATCCTGTTCAATAAATGATCAGTGTTTTTAATTAAGAGTAATTTTTATATGAATGTGCTTTACTGGAGGGATCCATGTTTGTCAAAGAACACTTCTTGAGGTCAAAGTCAACTATATTTCTCACATTTTAAATTGAAAACGCTTCCTGTAAGGTAGTGCTTCTCAATTATTTTATGTTACGCCCCCCCTAGCAAGAAGAAAACTATTCACGCCCCCCACTCCCCAGCGTGACTATCCATCTCTGCATAACATTTTATCCTTATTAACATTAAAGAAAAGAAAAAAAAAGAGAGACATATGGTCAGATTTACAAAGAATAACTGTATTAAATCGAGTTTTAAGTCTGCAACAGAAAAGATGTTAAGTGCATCAATATTCAGCACGTTTTCGCTGAAAAAACTCTAGCGGCTTATCGGCACGATCAGGGTGTAACGTATTTAAGTGACACGCTAATTTATTTGGCTTCATGCTGTTCGCTGCGCTAAATACGCTTCGTCGTATTTCCTCGTCTTAGCTTTCGGGTGACTTTCTTTTGTCTCATTATCTTTGTCTCTCTCCGCTTTTCTTTTCATCCCCGTTAAAAAAAATTTCATGTTGGGGGATTGTTATGTTGAATAACGGCGGCTTTAGACAGAAGTTAGTCGGAGCTTTCTGTTGACTCAACACTGCTAACCAAAGCAAACCTGTTGGCCGTTTCTCAATATGCGTTCTTGAGCGTTCTCGTGTGCTCGTGGCACGTCATCAGCCTCAGCCCGTGTACCTTTCCAATTCTCGAGAA